TTATTTGACAGAGAGAGACACAGCGAGAGAGGGAACACAAGCAGGGGGAGTGGGAGAGGGAGAAGCAGGCTTCCCACTGAGCAGGGAGCCCGATACGGGGCTTGATCCCAGGACCCTGGGACCATGACCCGAGCCGAAGGCAGACGCTTAACGACTGAGCCACCCAAGCACCCCTGGTTTTCTGGAGCTTAAATACCATATGACTAGATGTGGTTTTGTTGGTATTTATCCCGTTTGGTGTTGTCTCAGCTTCCTGGATCTGTCATTAATTTTGGAATTTTTTGGTCATTATTGCTTCAGATATTCCCTCTGCTCTGTTCTTCTGGTATTCTACTTATGCATATATTATACCTTTTGATGTTGTCTCACAGCTCTTGGATGGATGTTCAATTTTTTCATTCTTTTTCTCTTCACGTTTTAGTTAGTGAATTTTGTTGACCTCTCTTCAAGTTCATTGGTTCTTTCCTTGGCTTGTGGTGTGATGTGCCCTTCAAAGGCATTCCTCATTTCTATTACTGTGGTTTTGAATTCTAGCATTTCCTTTTGATTTTTTCTTGGAATTTTTCTTTCCCTGCTTATGTAACTCATTTATTCTTGAATGTTGTCTAATTTTTTTCATTCAACTCTTTAGCATATTAATCATAGTTATTTAAAACTCGCTCTCATAATTCTAGCATTTGTGTTGTATCTGAGTCTTGTTCTGATGATTACTTTGTGTCTTCTGAGTGTGTTTTTTTCTTGCTTTTTGATATGCTTTGCAATTTTTTTTTTTTCCAAAGCTGGACATGTATCTTGTAAAAGAACTGAGATAAATGGGTTTTTAGTGTGAGGATTTATGTGATTCTGGCTAGGAGATGGGCTGTGTTTAATGTTATAGCTGTAGGTCTCAGAGTCTCCAAATTCCTTTAGTGTCCTTGTTTTTGACTCCCCTCTTGACTTTGGGCTTCCCTGTGTACTCCTGTGTCTTGAAACTGTTCAGCTTTTCATCTGTGATCTACTGTTATTGCCCTGGAGCCTGTTGATGTGGTGGGAAGTTGTCAAGAGAGAAGCATTTCATAATCTTAGGATTAAATTTCAGTCTTTTAATGGTCCTATGTTCCAGTATTTCTAATAAGCTGGAAAACTGTTACTATTTCATTTATTTTATTTTTTAATTTGTTCAGTTTTATTGAGGTATAGTTGGCAAATAAAATTGTAAGATATTTAAAGTGTAGGGGATCCTGGCTGGCTTGTGGAAGACCTCTTGATCTCAGGGTCATGAGTTCGAGCCCCATGTTGGGTGTAGAGGTTACTGGAAAAAAAAAAACCTTTAACAACAATAAAAAGTGTAAATTGTGGTGATTTGATATACATACACATTGTGAAAGGATTCCCCCATCTAATTGATTATTTATTAAATCTGTTATATTTATTATTTTTTTTTACTGTTTTGTGAGAACATTTAAGTTCTCCTCTCTTAGCAAATTTCAGTGTACAGTATAGTGTTATCAACTGTAGTCACCATGTTATACATTAGATCCTCAGACTTCATTCATCTTACAGCTGGAAATTTGTAACCTTTTACCAAACTCTCCCTATTTCTACTACCTGTCAGCACCTGGCAGTCACTTTTCTACCTTCTGTTTCTATGAGTTTGACTTTTTTTTTTTTAAGATTCCATATATAAGTGATACTGTGCAGTATTTGTCTTTCTCTGTCTTATTTCATCCAGTATAATAATGATTTCATAGTCCATCCATCTTGTCCCACATGGGGGATTTCCTTCTTTCTCATGGCTGAATCATAGTCTACAGTGTATAGATAGATAGATAGTGTGTGTGTACACATATATATATATGTACACACCACATCTTTGTCCACGCATCTGTTGATGGACAGCTTAGGTTGTTTCTATATCTTGGCTATTGTGTATAATGCTACAGTGATTATGGGAGAACAGATATGTCTTCGATATCCTGTGCTCTTTTCCTTTGAATATGTATCCAAAAGTGGGATTGCTGGATCATATGATAGTTTTATTTTTCATTTTTTGAGCAACTTCCATACTGTTTTCCACAGTGGCTGCACCAATTAATGTTTCCAACAGTACACAGATTCTCTTTTCTCCACAGCCTCACCAGCCTCACCAGGTGTCTCTCAGACCTTTGTGCTTGTCCAAGCCACCTTCTTTGTTTTCAGTGGCTCCTGGTAGTTGAAGGCATGCCAAGACCTATCAGTGTACCAAAAGAAAGGGATCTCAGTCAGCACCTACATGCAGGCTGACTGGAAGCTGATCCATCAGGCAGCAGCTGGGAAAGTATGTAGTTAGGCCCTTTCCAGGGAGAAACTGGAGATGGGCTTTTTAAATTTTTAAAATTATTTTATTTTATTTTTTTAGAGAGAGGGAGAGCATGAGTGGTGGGGTGGGGGAGAGGGAGAGGGAGAGAATCTCAAGCAGACACTCCGCTGAGTGCAGAGCCTGATGGGGGGCTTCATCTCACAACCCCTGAGATCATGACCTGAGCCAAAATCAAGAGTTGAACGCTTAACCAACTGAACCACCCAGGCGCCCGCCCCCCCAATTTTAGTTTTTGAGTTTCTTTTTGAAGCAGTTCTAACTATTTGCAAGGATTGATATGTTATGGATTTCATAATTTTTTTTTAAAGAGTTTATTTATTTATTTGACAGAGAGAGAGACAGCAAGAGAGGGAACACAAGTAGGAGCAGAGGGAGAGGGAGAAGCAGGCCTCCCGCTGAGCAGGGAGCCCGACACAGGACTCAATCCCAGGACCCTGGGATCATGAGCTGAGCCGAAGGCAGCTGCCTAACCTGCTGAGCCACCCAGGCGCCCCTGGATTTCATCATTTTTTATAACTATAAGTTAAAATAAAATTTTAAATGAACAAAGATAAAATTTAAAATTTTAAATGAACAAAGACAATTTACTTATATTTTTTAACCAAATAAATTCATTCTGTCTTGCAGTTTCCACATGGGTGACTTGGTCTCATGTATAAATCTAAGAAACAGGATTGTAGTGATCTTATTTTAATGTATGAAATGTTTTGTTATTTTATTACCCTAGCAGTTATTTTAACATTACTCATCAATTATGTCCAACAGTGCTAAACTAGACTAAAATATAAGAAAATAGAAGAATGATGCAATTTCTTAGAAGGTTAACGAAACAGTAAAGTAAACCTTCACCGCTATATCATTCTTCAATTTTCTTACTGAGTTCCCTGAAATATTGAATTAATTGTGATGAAGTTATGAAAGAAGTCTGAAGACGCCTTATTCTTTTTTTTTTTTTTTTTTAAGATTTTATTTTTAAGTAATCTCAGCACCCAATGTGGGGGCTGAACTCACAATCTCGAGATCAAGAATCACACATTTCATTGACTGAGCCAGGCGTCCCTCTTTTTTTTGTTTTGTTTTGTTTTCATTGAACACAATTGAGAATTCAGAATTTTTGTTTTCTGCCTTAATTGCAAAAATCAGAAAGCTGACATGAGAAGACTTTTCATAGTTATTAGACAAATCAAAAGATAAATGTAAAGAGACAGAAGCACTCTAGATCTAACAATGATGGTATAATTCATTTATAAGTGAAATAGACTGTAAGTTTTAGATGATGACATTGTAGACAAATAAAGATGTGCATCTGATCCTTTTATAAGAGCAGCTTGAATGTATACTTGTTTGGAAATTAGTATTCTTTGTGAGTCTCAGCAAGAATGCAAATATAGCCTAGGCAATCGAGTTTTCCTTTTAAGTCTAATGGAAATGAGTACTTTCTGAAATCTAATTTGGTGTTGTCATATGGACTAGAAAAGGGGTTGACATTGTAAGCATGTATGTTAGTAAGGCTCTTGTTTCGGGAGATATGGACTAGATCCTGATCTGATTGTTCCACATCTAATTGTTCCTTTGATGTCTCCCCTCACCATCATTGTCTGTTAATTTGCCTTGTGATTCTACTTGCTATTTGTTGAGTTGTTGGGCTGATTCTATTCCTTGGGAGGTTCTCCATCCCAGGATCAAGCAGTTATCCAAACATTTTGTATTTATTGTTTGTGTTTATTTCAAATTCTCTATCCATTTTTGAATGTCACATTTTCAAACTTTTTTTTTTTAAAGATTTTATTTATTTGACAAAGAGAGAAAGATAGCTAGAGAGGGAACACAAGCAGGGGGAATGGGAGAGGGAGAAGCAGGCTTCCCGCGGAGCAGGGAGCCCGATGCGGGGCTCGATCCCAGGACCCATGAGCCGAAGGCAGATGCTTAACGACTGAGCCACCCAGGCACCCCTTTCAAATATTTTTAAAAAGTAATCTCTATACCCAACATGGTCAAGAGTCACATGCTCCACTGATTGAGCCAGCCAGGCATCCCTGAATATCACATTTTTTAAAATTGAGGTGTAATTGACATACAATATTATATTACTTTCAGGTGTATAACATAATGATTCATTATTTGTATATATTGCAAAATGATCACTGCAGTAAACATTTTGAAGTGCCAAATTATGTTTTGTTGACAGATTGCTCAGTCATTTTCCACTACTCCAAGTTATTTATTTTATCCAAACCTAGGAGAGTGAGGCAGTATGCCCTTGGATTACTTTCACAGCAAAAGACTGGGCTATGATAAGACATAAAAATATGTCATCTTTTCATAAGAAATACCTTACTACCTATAAACCGTGGTAAATTATTTTTATTTCTAGACTTTTGCATAGTTGACCTGATGGGGAAGAGCCAGAAAAGCAAGAGCAGTATTTGTGGGAAGTCAATTTTGTCAACAACAAAACACTAAGGAGAGAAATAGTGTATTAGGAAAATCATTTTATCTGAGCACAAACTCTGTTCTGTAAGAAAAATACCTAGTATATGTGACTCATATGGAATGAGTTTTGAATTTTATTTCAGAAGTAATTATTAGTAATAGAAACTTCTTTGTAAGGAAGCTTGATGAGTTTAATGCACATGGGAAATTGCTCCTCTGTAAAGCAGAATTTTCATTCTGGAGAGAAACCTTTCGAATATGACAAAAATGGAAAAGCTATTGTTCAGAATGAGGACCTGTTTCAACATCAGTATATTCAAACTCTGAAGCAGCTTTTTTTTTTTTTTTTAAAGATTTTATTTATATATTCATGAGAGACAGAGAGAGAGGCAGAGGGAGAAGCAGGCTCCCAAGGAGCAGAGAGCCCGATGCGGGACTTGATCCCAGGACACTGGGATCATGACCTGAGCCGAAGGCAGACGCTTAACCATCTGAGCCACCTGGGCGCCCTGAAGCAGCTTTTTGAATATAATGAATGTGGGAAAGCCTTCCATGAGGGAGCAACATTATTTTATTTTATTTATTTTATTTTATTTTATTTTATTTTATTTGCCAGAGAGAGAGAGAAAGAGAGAGGGCGAGCACAAGCAAGGAGAGCTGCAGGCAGAGGGAGAAGCAGGCTCTCAGTTGAGATCATCACCTGGGATCATGACCTGAGCCAAAGGCAGACGTTTAACTGACTGAGCCACCCAGGCATCCTGAGGGAGCAACTTTCATTGTGCATAAGAGAACATGCTCATGGGGGAAGCCCTATGAATATAATGAATATATGAAAGCCTTTTCTGATAGACCAACATTCACTGTTCATCAGGGAACTCATATAAGGGAGAATCCCTGTGAATTTAATGACTGTGGGAAGTGGTGTGTTGGTGAGAAGTCAACTCTAAATAAGCATAGTCGAGTTATCATGGGGAAGAAATACTATGAGTGTTAAAAGTGAGAATAGTTTCGGGGCGCCTGGGTGGCTCAGTTGGTTAAGCGACTGCCTTCGGCTCAGGTCATGATCCTGGAGTCCCGGGATCGAGTCCCGCATCGGGCTCCCTGCTCAGCGGGGGTCTGCTTCTCCCTCTGACCCTCTTCCCTCTCGTGCTCTCTGTCTCTCATTCTCTCTCTCTCAAATAAATAAATAAAATCTTTAAAAAAAAAAAAAAAGTGAGAATAGTTTCAGCAAGAAGTCACTCCAGCGAATTTGTAAAGGAGAGGAAACTTTTGACTATAATGAAGATTGGGAAGTATTCTGCAAGAAGCCACATTTCATTCAGCATGAAGAAACACATATAGAAAGGAAAGCCTGTAAAATTAATCAATATGCTGGCACATTTTGCAAGAAGCCAAAGCTTCCTATGGGTCAGAAAACATATATAGGAGAAAAACTCTATGAATGTCGTGAACATTCCCACCTTCAGCCATAAATCATCTCTTATCCTACATTAGAGGATACACAGGAGAAACCCTGTGCACCAAATGTGGGAAAACTTTCAGATAAATGTCAGGCCTCGCAGTGCATCAGAGAACACACACAGGGGAAAAACCCAATGAGTGTAATGTTTGTCAGAAAGCCTCCAGTAATAGGTCAGCTCTCACTGTACATCAGAGAATACATACTGGGAAGAAACCTGATGAATGTAAGGAATGTGGGAAAACTTTCTCCCAGAAGCCAAACTTCATTAATCATCACAGAACTCACACAGGAGAGAAACCCTATGAATGTAATGAATGTGGAAAATCCTCCGAAGTCAAAACTGAGAGAACATCAGAGAACACACATAGGAGAGTAACCTCATAAATGTCAGGAATGTGGGACAACTTTTTACCACAAATCGACCCTCACAGTACATCAGAGAACCCACACAGGGGAGAACCCCTTTGAACATAGTGAATGTGGGAAAACCTTTCACCAGAAGCCATCCCTGACAACACATCAGAGAATACACACTAGGGGGTAGGGTAAGCCCAGGACTATACTGGAACCACTTGCCAGAATCCTGACTTCACTGCAGCCCAGAGAAACAACACTGAGAAGAAACCACTGTCAACATTATGAAAACTCAGAAACCTTCACCTTCTTGTCAGACTCACTGTGTAGCAGAAATAGCCCAGGGCTGAGGTGGGGAACCCATTAAATAGGAGGAAGCTTTTGCCCAGAAGTGGCATTTCATTGAACAGCAAAATAATTGGTATTTGATAACCTTACTAAAATTTTGAAGATTTACAATGTAATAAAAGTAAAAAAAATATGGAGGCTTTTTTTTTTTTGGAGGAGTTATATAAGTATCTTATATAAGAGAAATTTAAAAAAATTTTTTTAATTTATTCATGAGAGGGAGAGAGACAGAGGGAGAAGCAGGCTCCCCGTGGAGCAGGGAGCTTGACATGGGACCGGATCCCAGGACCCTGGGATCATGACCTGAGCTGAAGGCAGACACCCAACCGACTGAGGCACAATTTTGCATGATTGATTTGCTTATTGGAACTGAACATTATAGTAGGAAACATATATTTGCTTAATAACATATAATTTTGAATTAATGATTTTAATATGAATATGAAATGGGTAAGTTGTCCCATACTTAATACCTATGTAACTTTTTTGTTTTAATTGAAATGTTCATTGAGATAATTATAGATTGTAAGATGCAGTTTTACATTTTTATTTTTTTAAATCTTTAAAAATATTTTATTTATTTGAGAGAGAGCGAGAGAGGGAGGGAGAGCACAGATGGAGAGGGAGAGGGAGAAGCAGACTCCCCGGTGAGTGGAGAGCCTGACATGGGACTTGATCCTAGGACCCTGAGATCACGACCTGAGCCGAAGGCAGACTCCCAACCGACTGAGCCACCCAGGCTCCCCTAAGATGCGATTTTAATAACACGGAGAGATCAGGTGTTTCCTGTACCCGGCCTCCCCCAGTGGTAACATCTTGCAAAACTGTAGTACAATATTGTCCAGGAAAATGACCATATTGATACAATCCACCAATCAGTTTAAAGTTTCTCAGTTTTATTTGTCCTCATTTATGTGTATGTGTATTGAGTTCTGCGCAGTTTTATCACGTGTGGGTTCGTGTATCCACCACCCTGTCAAGGTACAGAGCAGTTCCATCACCACAGGGATTCTCTGTTTCTCTTCTATAATCACATCTCCCTCCCTTCCGGATCTCCTCATTCTAGCACCTGCCAGTAAATAATGGGATCTCCATTTCTAAAATGTTGTCACTTAAAAAATGTTACATGAATGGAATCGTAAAATGTGTAACCTTTTAGAATTGGCTTTTTTCACTCAGCATAATTGCCTGAAGATTCATTTAACCGTGTTTTTGTGCATATCAATAATTTATTCTTTTTAATTGCTGAGTATTATTTTGTGGTCTGGATGTACTGCAGTTTGTTTACCCATTAAGCTAGGCTGTTTCCAGTATTTTATTATGAGTAAAAGTGTTATGAATGTTTTTTTCCCCCTTTTGTTCATTGCAGTGACTAGAACTTCCAGTGCTATGCTGAATAAGAGTGGTGAGAGTAGACATCTCCACTTGTTCCTAATCTTAGGGCGAAAGGTCTGTCTTTCAACATTAGGTATGATGATAGCTGTAGATTTTTTAATAGATTCTCTTTACCAGACTGAGGTAATTTCCTTCTGTATTGGGTGTCCCCAGGACCCCTAGATTTGGTGATTTATTTGGAGGACTCACAGGACTCAGCATATAGTCCTATTTGTGGCTAAGATTTATTACAGTGAAAAGAGACAAGGCAAAATCAACAAAATGTATAGGCATGGGGGGCAAAGTCCAGTGGAAAGCAGACGAAAGCTTCCACAAGTCCTTTCCCAGTGGAGTCACACAGGATGCGTGTGATTCTTCTAGCACCAAATTGTGACAGTGCATGTGAAGTATTGCCTACCAGTGAAACTCATCAAAGACTCAGGGCCCAAGGTATTCTCCCTAGCACAAACCCAAATTCCAGCTTCTCAGAAGGAAGGCACATTTTCAGGATAAGGCATATTGTCTGAACAAACAGTTTAGGCACAATGAGACAGTCTTATCAGGGAAAGATGAAACACTCCTGAAATCCAAGTTCCCAGGTGCCAGCAACAGGCCTTGAAAGCAGGCCTTCCTAAGGATATTAATCTCGGGCTTGCCATATTAACCCTTTTCTGCACACTTTCTATTTCTGACTTGTTCGGAGTTTGTCCAGGTGTTGGATTTTGTTAAATGGTTTTTCTACATTTGTAATATGAGCACATGAGTCTTCTTCATTAGCCTGTTTATATGGTGGATTACATTATGATCGACTGATTGATTTTTTTTTTTTTAAGATTTTATT